GGTGAAGTCACTTCTGAGGTTCACCGTTCAGCCAGGGATTGGACAGCCCCATAAAACAAAACGGGACTAATAAGGCACAGCAGTCCAGGGACAAGGGCTAGAAGGCAGAAGGGGACAGGAAAGCTGGTGATAGGGAACCCAAGGTTGAGTAAGGACAGTGTTGATGTGTAGTGAGGTTGTTCACCACTGTCATAGGGCAACCTGTGTACTAACTGTTTAATGAGAAACTTGTTCTGTAAACCTTCATCTAAAGTGAGAATAGAAGCACAGCTGGAAGAGCATAGTTGATGTCACTGAACTGTGCATGTAGAAATTTTTGAAATGGTATATCTTTGGCTATGTATATTTTCACCAAAAAAAACTAAAAATAAAAAAGGTCAAGAAGGGAGAGGGTTGACATGTCGTGGGGTTGTTTACCAATGTCATAAAACTATATGTGTACTACTGTTTAATGAGAAACTATTTGTTCTTTAAACCTTCACCTGAAGTACAAAAAAAAAAAATGAACTGCCAAAAATTTAAAAAATGGGGCTTTCATGCAAGTTAAAAAAAAAAAAAATACAGAAGTCAAGGTTTCATTGTTATTCTTCATTAAGTGCACAGCTTGTATCACCCAACAACAGAGTAGATAAATATAAAACACAAAAACTACTAAAAATTCAGGGACAGCTTCATTAAAAATACATACAGACAGCTTTTCATACACCCTTTTCAGTATCAAACAGTCCAAGTACACCAAAAGCAAAAGCATAATGAAAAATTCAATTAACGAATTTTTAAAAAGATAATAATATAAACCCTTACATCCCTAAATATGGAATTATGTTTTTTTAATTCACAAACATGTACAAAACTCCACCATGTACATATCCACATAGAAATCGAAAACATATTCAAAATATACAGGTCATGGTTTATTTTTTATTTATTTATTTATTTATTTAAATCACAATGTAACAAAATCAGAAATAATAGTAAAACAGGAACCAAACATGTTATAATACTTGGGAATTAAGACTTCACTGATAATCCATGGATAGAAGAAGAAATTAAAATTATATCAATGATGTAGATAGAACACTTCAAAATGATAGTGTACAATGAAAGTTAGACTCAGAGGAAATAATACATACAGTCTTTTCTTCCTGCAGTATTAAAGAAGGAACTTAGTACATTTAAGAAAGAAACTTAGTACTCTTAGCATAAATCTTAAAAATCAAAAAAAAACTAAAAAAAGGGTAAAAGAAGAAATTTATCAAGATAAAAGGTCAAATTAATAAAATAAAAATAAAAAATAATAGACAACTGGTACTGTTAAAGGCCGAACAAAACACAGAAAACTCTTTCGAGTCTGTTAATGGAACAAAGTGCATGTGTGTGTGTCTATGTGTATGACTAGAAATATGAAAATATTCAGAAATTAAAATAATTATTTAAAAATATGTACATGTATACAGTAATCAGTTTGATAATTTAGAGGAAAAGGGTAATTACTTACAGAAACATAAAAGTTATAAAAAACTGACCCAAATAGAACGAGAAAGCTTGAATAATTTCCTTATAAGAGTCTGAAAGGGATTAAAAAGCTACCATTTTTCAAGAGACCAGGACCAGATAATTTCAATGTAATTTTTAAGGGGCAAGGAATTCTAATATTATTTAAGCTATTCAAGGCCATGGAAAAATATGAAAATCTTTCCAATTTATTTTATGAAGTTAACATTAACTTAGTAGCCAAACCTGATAATAAAGTTACAAAGCATATAAATAATAATGCAATGTTATTAAATAAAATATAAGATTCAGCAATATACAAAATAATATAATACGACCAAGTAGAATTCATTTCAGGAACACAAGAATGGTTCAGAATTAGAAAATGTACCATCATAATTAATTACATCAACAAACTGAAAGATAAATCATAAGACAATAATGAATGACAAAAGAAGTATTTCATAAAAATTCAGTCATTTCTGATAAGAACCAGGCAATATAATAATCAGAAAAGAGTATTAAACATGATATACTTCTTTAAAAGAATACACGTAGAAATAATGAATCCTTAGACTTCCCTGATTAAATATCTGAGAGACTCTTACTATAACAAAATGTCTAAACTATGGTAAAGTTTGCAAGTAGGAACTGAGAACTGACAAATTTGAAATTTTCTACACACACACACAAACACACACATCCATCTACATACATACATACATATAAATAGAATCAAATTAATATATAAAGATGTACGTGTATTCCCTCATAGAAAACATATACAATACACATAATTATACATTTGTATTTATTCTCTGTTAAAAAAACTAGTTTTACCTGTTTGGGAAGTCGGAACAAGGAATTCTTATAGAAAATATCCTTGGCCTGGCTCCATGTACCATCAATGATGATGACTGTGGAAGGATAAACAGGAGAATCTAATACATATTCTTCCAAATTAGCAGCTTCAGCCCCTGGATATAATATTAATGTACCAGATTTTTGGCAAACAGCTGAAAGTTCAGGATCCCTAGAAAATAAAAAAGATATTTACCAGTTTGTGGGAAAAAAATAGTCTTATTACACTTACTGTATTTCCTAATGGAAGTTCCCCTCTATTCAGTCACTTGCCTAATCAAATAGAAATACTAATTAGTTCATAAAGTATGAATTAAAATACTCAAAACTCTGTGTACTCTTCATTCATTCATTAGGCATAACTCTGTCACTGTTCCTTAGGCTTCCCAATTTTCACTATTCTCCTTCATTAACTATTTAATTGTTGCCAGTGACATAAGTTTAACTTTATCATATATTTAAAAAGAAGAACAATATAAAATCAATATCCTAAGCTTCCTCCTTAGGAAACTAGAGAAAGAAGAGGAATTTAAGCCTAAAGCAAGCAGAAGAAGGGAATGATTAAAAAAAAAAAATTAGAGCAGAAATCAATAAAATTGAAAATGGGAAATCAATAGAGAAAACCAATGAAACCAAAGCTGGTTCTTTGAAAAGATCAATAAAATTGATAAAACTCCAGTCAAGCTAACCAAGGAAAAAAAGAGAGAAGACAAAATTACCAATAACAAAAATGACAGTGAGTACATCACTGAACCCAGACATAATAAAACAGTAATAAAGCAATACTACAAAAAACTCATTGCCACACATTTAATAATGTACATGAAATTAATGAATTGTGTGAATAACAGAAACTGCCAAAACTCACACAAGCAGAAACAACATTAATAGTCCTATATTTGTTTGAAAAAAAATTGAATCAATAATGAATAATCTTCAAAAAAAAATTAACATGTAGTTTCACAGGTGAATTCTCTCAAACATTTAAGGAATGCATGAGAAACAATTCTCTACAACCTTTTCCAGATGATAAAAGCAGAGAGAATATTTCCTAACTCATTCTTTAAAGCCACTGTCACTCAACACCAAAAGACAAAGATAGTATAAGAAAGTAAAACTACAGACCAATATCACTCAAGAACATAGATACAAATATCAATAAAATATTGGTAAATTGAAGTTAACAATGTATAAAAATAATTATATACCAAGACCAAGTGGGATTTATCCCAGGTATGCAAAGCAGGATCAACATTCAAACTCAATAAATGTAATTCACCATATCAACTAAAACAGAACAAAAAATCAATGACCAAATCAATTAGTACAGAATGAGTATCCGATAAAGTCCAACACCCATTTGTGATGAAAGGAAAAAAAAAGCTCTCAGCAAACTAGGAACAGAGGGCAACTCCCTCATTTTGATTAAGAATATCATCTACAAAATAATACAGCTTACATTATATTTAATAGTGAGAAAGTGGAAGCTTGCCAACTAAGATCAAGAACAAAGCAAGGATGTTCTCCCAATCTTATTCAACATCATACATGAAGTACTAGCTACTGCAACAGGACAAGAGAAGGAAATAAACTATCATTTACAATCACACCCCAAAAAATGAATAGTTAGGTGTAAATCTAAAAATATGTACATGGTCTATATGCAGAAAACAGCAAAACATTAATTAAAAAATTAAGGAAGAGCTAAAGAAATGTTTTAAAGAATTATTGCAAAGATAGTACAAAAATTTCCCAGATACCTGACACCCAGTTTCTGCTATTATCTAGAAATAACATATATGAAAACAATAAAATAAAAATGAGAGGGGGTTACGTAGAATTACACTTCCGTAAGATTCTTATAAGGAGCCCTGGTGGCACAGTGTTTAAGTGCTTGGCTGCTAATCAAAAGGTCAGCAGTTTGAACTCACTAGCTACTCCACAGGAGAAAGATGTAGCAGTCTGCTTCCATAAAGATATACAGCCTTATAAACTCTATGGGCAGTTGTACTCTGTCCTACAGGGTCACTATGAGTCGGAATCGACTCAAGGGAGGTATTTTTTAATGTTCTTATGTTATACAATTAATGATATAATGTTAATTCATGGCAGACTGTGATAAGTTCATAATGCATACTGTAATCCATACACTAAAACAAAAAGGACAAACTTAAAACCAACAAAGAGAAAGAATGGGATACTTTAAAAATACTCAACCCACAAGAGGAAAGTAAAAGAGTAACAAAGAACCAAAGGGTTAATGGGAATAATAGAAAATAAATACCAAGATGGATAACTTAAATCTAAATACATCAATAATTACATGAAATGTAAATGGCAAAAACTCTACAACTAAAGGATACTGATGGTCAGGCTGGATTTAAAAACCAAGACCCAATTATATGCTGTTAATAAGAAGACAATTTAACTATAGAGACACAAATCTGTTGCAAGTAAAAGTTTAGAAAAACTATACCATATAAATACTACCATCAGACATAGCAGACTTCAAAATAAGGAGTTATTATCAAAGATAAAGAAGAACATTTCATAATGATAAAAGGTTAAATTTATCAAGAAGACAAAACAATACTAAATACATATTCACCTAATAAAAATGCTTCCACATACATGAAACAAAAACTGAAAGAATTCAATGTAAAAATACACAAATCTGTGATCACAGTTGGAGATTTTTACACATTTTTCTTGTTAACTGAGAGGAAAAAGTACATAGTAAATAAGTCAGGCTACAGAAGATTTGAACATTATCAACCATTTTTACCTAATTGATATTCGCATAACACTACACCTAACAACTACAGAATACACAGTCTTTTCTCCTGCATATACAACATTCACCAATGTAGACTATAAGCTGAACCAGAAAACAGGTATCAATAAAATTTTCAAACCTGAAATCATACGTAGTATAATAATTACATTAGAAATTAAAATAATATTACAGTGGCAATACTAAAACCTGTAAAACTTTTTTTTTTTGGAAATTAAGCAACACACTTCTAAATAACTGATCTGATTAAAAAAAAAAAGAAATCACAAGAGTAATTAGAAAATATTCTCAACTGAATGAAAATAAAAACACAACATAAAGTTGGTGGGATGGAGCTAAAGCATACATAAAAGAAGAAATTTATACCCTTAAATGTTTATATGAACAAAGAAGAAAGATCTAAAATCAATTCTCTAAATTAAACACAAGAAAGCAGAAAAGGGAAACAAAGAACAGAAATCAATAAAACAAAACAAATCAATAATGGAGAAAAATGACAAAGCCAAATGTTGATTCTTTGAAAGATGGATTAAGGAAAAAAGAAAGAAAACAGAGATTTACTAAATCAGGAATGAAAGAGTCTATCGCTACAAATTCTATCATTGTCAACTGTCACTGAGTTGGCCCTAATTCACGGTGACCTTATATATAAAAAACAGAACATTGTTCTTCGCTATCTTCACGATCGTTGCTATGTTTGCATCCATTGTTGTGGTTATTGTGTCAATCCATCTCATTAAGGGTTCCCCTCACCTTCGCTGGCCTTCCACTTTACCAAATATGATGTACTTTTCTAAAGACTGGTCTTTTCTCATGACGAGTCCAAAGTACCATATTTTTACATAAATAATGCAAGACTTCTACGTTTGTTTGCCAACTGCTCCCTCCCTGGTAAGGTATTTTCGTAAGCATACTATGCTAATTTCTTTTTACAGCAACGTGTTAAAAAAAACTGACATAGGGGCACTTATGAAAATATCTCATGGGGAGACAGTGATTGGCAAACAAATGTAGACGGAACACGTTATTTCTGTAAAACTACAGTAAGCAAGTCGAAGTCTCACTTCTAAGGAACATTCAGGTTGTATTTCTTCTAAGATTGATTTGTTGTTCTTTTGTCAGTATGTTCAATATTCTGCACCAACACCATAGTTCAAATGCATCGATTCTTCCTATTTCATTATCCAACTTTCCCATGCATATGAAGTAACTGAAAAGACTCCTACATATCTGTAAGTTTGTCATGCTGAGGTGGCCTGCATGTTATTCTGATGCTGGAAGCTATGCCACTGGGATTTCAAGTATCAGCAGGGTCACCCACGGTGGGCAGGTTTCAGAAGAGCTTCCAGACTCAGACAGACTAGGAAAAATGGCCTGGTAATCTAGTTCTGAAAATTAGCCAGTAGAAAGCCTACAAATTCTACAGACATGAAAAAGAACAAAGAAGTGCTACCAATAACTTTATGACAATAAATTCAGGAATTAAGATGACTTGTAGAAATTCCTTGAAAGGTAGAAATTAACAAATCTGACAAGCAAAAAAATAGAAAATCTAAATTATCTTATGTTTAATAAATAAATGATATTTATAATTCCAAACCAGCCCATGAATAAAAAATTAAGGATCAGATGGCTTAACTGGTAAATTCAATCAAATTCTATCAAATACTAAAGGAAATTTTTGAAATCATATATAACTTCTTTTTGAAAATAGAGGAGGGAGAAATGACCAAATCATTTTGTAAGGCCAGCATAAATCCAATACAAAAACTTGGTAAGTTTTACCAAAAAAACCCTTCAAATCTCTCATGAACCGAGATACCAAAATACTCAACAAAACACTGGCAAATCACATTCAACAGTATACAACATAATAAAAATAATAGTAATAAATTATTCTGAACAAGCAGACTTTATCTCAGGAATGAAAGATGGGCTTGAAATTCACAAATCAATCAATGTAATTTGTCATATTACAGAATTGGTAACAGAACTACATTTCAAAAGAAGTAGACAAAGTGTTTCATGAAACTCAGGAACCATGTTGTTGTTATTGTTAGGTGCCATCAAATAGGTTCTGACTCATAGTGACCCCATGTACAACAGAACGAAACACTGCCCGGTCCTGTGTCATCATCACAATCCTTACTATGTTTGAGACTATTGTTGCAGCCACTGTGCCAATTTATCTTCTTGATGGCCGTCCTCTTTTTTGCTGACCCTCTATTTACCAAGCATGATGTCCTTCTCCAGGGACTGGTCCCTCCTGGTAACATATCCAAAGTAAGGGGACGAGGTCTCACTACCCTCGCTTTTAAGGTATATTCTGGCTGTACTTCTGCCAAGACATATTTGTTCATTTCTCTGGCAGTCCATGC